AAACGTGTGGTTGTCGGGTAAGAAGAGTGGGTTCCCATGCACCCCAGGATATCTTTATTTAATTAACGTTTTTGTAATTCTCAAAGTGTCTCATGATCGAATTTTGATGTTCCCATTGCAAAACATTGTCCCATGCGGCCATTTGGAACTTCCAATGAAATTCGTTAATTTTGTGTTTACTTTTTGTAACTAGATGTCATTTAAAATTAAATGAACCTCTAAATGTATTCAGTAAGCAGTGTTAATTTTCCAAATACCAATACCAATTTGGCAGCCATATTGACTATCGGGTTTCTTTTTTAATTTAGACATCACAAAATAACCTATCTTTTTAGTAATGTTGTCATTGAGAATTGGGACCCATAATTAAGGCTTGTTTGATACATTAAAACTAAAAAAATATGAAAAGATGCAAAAAGTAATATGAAACACTTCTAACTTTATGAAAACGCACTATATTTGTGGTATTATGTATTGTATTGCAGACAATGTTTTATCCACTGTACACACTATAAATTAATGGCAAAACTAAATAAACAGGTTTTCTAGACAATTTTTTCCAACATTCTGTTTGAGATCAAATCACAGCCTTTCTATTACCTTTTGTAAGATTTTGAGTGTAAATAAGATACTTCTTTTCTTATTATATGTAGCTTTAATGTATCAAACCTGCTTAAAGCATAGCCTACAACACGGGTCTTAATCAATTATTAATTATAAAATTACTCTGAAAAAAATAAATAGGTTATTTTTTGTTTGTATGATAAAAATGATCAAAATTAGCCTATAATCAATTTTCATTGAAAAGCCAGTATGGCCGCCAATATGCCCGCCAATATGCCGCCAGAATGGCCGCAAATGTATTGCGAAGTTAATGTCTGGTATTGGGAACATAAACACTGCTAAAGTATATTTAGACGTTTATTTCATTTTACACATCTAGATAAAACATTTTCAAATTAATGATTTTCATTGAAAATCCAAAATGGCAGCCAAAATTGCCTCCAAACTACCCCATGGAACATTCATTTTTTCTGCGATGGGAATATCAAAATTCGTTAATGAAATATATCCTGTGGTTGCATTGGAACCCCTTTTTTTGCTAGATTAATGCATGATAAGCAAGTAATGTTTAGTTACGCAATTGTGGTGTCTGATAACTTCGACGGGATATAATTGAGAGTTGCACATTCCAGGTACCTGAAATAAATAATATTATGTAATATATAATAAATATATTATATCAAAGAAAGGTAAATGCAGTGTAACAATAAAGGACATGAAACATCGTGGAGCATAGCTCTCGACGGCGAATGTTGTCCTATATAAATAAATAAATAGACAGATAGATAGATAGACAGACCGACCAACCGACCGACAGACCGACACACAGAACGACCGACAGATAGACAGACAGATAGAAATAAGTAAATGAAAATATTTTTCTTTTTTTTTCATATATTTTTTTTTCTTACTTAGATGAGATATTAAAGGAAGTAAAAACTATGGAGACAACCTTGAATCCAATATGGTGCCAGTATAAAATAATGTTTGATGACTGCATGATATCCCCAATTATACATATACACACCCAATTAAATGACTGAGAAGGAAATAAATATTTCTTGCACATAACCTATCACTAATGAAATTACTATTGCAATTCTAATAGTTTAGTTCTAATAAAAGAAATGTGTAAATTATTGTTATCATTTTAACGCACTGTATTTTTTCCCCATATTTTTCAATGTAAGCTTGTATTTAGGTTTGTTGTCTTTTCTTTTTTGTTTTTTTGTGGGGTGGGGTAAATTATTGTTATCATTTTAACGCACTGTATTTTTTCCCCATATTTTTCAATGTAAGCTTGTATTTAGGTTTGTTGTCTTTTCTTTTTTGTTTTTTTGTGGGGTGGGGATACTAGAAATACAAGATAGAGTTCTCCACACAAAAAAAGTGTTCCACCGTGTTCCACCGAAATGCATGGTGGGAATACGAAAAATGGGACGCCCCCTACAGCTGGATCTAAAAAAA